ATCATATATTATCTTTATTATATTGAACTCAAATTTTTTAATATAATTGATAAATCAACAACCTCTATAAATTGCATACTATAAGTAAATAGTGCAACTAATTAATTACAAGTAAGCAGTAAATAATTATATTATAGAAATGGTTAATAGCAATAGAAAACGATATATATTAAAAATTTAAATAGATATATATACAGTTTAATACATAATTATAATGCTTTATCACATAGTTCAAATAAATTTTTATATTACACAATAATTTCAACTTACAAATCTCTTTAAAATGATATATAGCAATAGTAAATTCTGGTCATCTAAAATATCATTTTTGATCTATCTAAATTAAATGTAAATATATTATTATTTTAAATTCTTTAATCACAATAAATATGCATCAATAATGACACTTTGGATGACCGAATTTTACTATATATCTAACTATTATATATAAGAATTAAGTTGGTGATGCTATTAATATTAATAAATCTCAGCAATAATATTGTATATATATTGTATCTTCAGAAATTGTTATTATACTTTATATTTAATAACATAAGTAAATTTTAGTATAAATATAAGTATACTTGTGTTATTATATTTTATATTTAAATTTTATGTAATAAGTATTCTTGTGTTATTGTATTTTCTTTTAATATAAGTGGTTGATATTATTAGATATTAATTTGTTTTCTTCTTATATAATAGATTTAAAAAATATAAATACAAGTTTAATTAAAAGGTAATGATAAAAGAATTTTTAATACAACAGAAAACCAATCTAGAAATAGTACACTGTCACTATTATACTCTGCTGCACCTATTACTCATTCTCGGTCAAATCTCTCTCAACTATTAAATACTAACAATATTGCTGAACCTCATTAACTACTTAACCCTAATAATAATAGTTCATCTTTTGATTCAACTACTAGAAGTGTTAGAAGTATTCAACAAATATATTCAAATATGGGCAGATCTTCCTTACAAGTATTTTGATATCAATTATGCCAACCATCCACCATCTGTTCCTTATCTCACTAGCCTTCCTTCACCTTTCAAAATGAACTTACTTCTTATTCTGAATCTAGATATCATTCTATACTGATTATAATCGATTAATATCTCTAGCTCAATGACCTTCTTCAAGATCACAATCATGAAAGAGATTACCAACACATGATAGATCATTTAATCAAAATTGTACACATAGTCAAAATAATACATATATAAAGGCTTTTTTTTTAACATTTGTTATTAAATTTTTTTTTTTTTGGAAAAATTTTTTTTTTTTTTTTATATTTATTTTTATTGTATGCATTAAGCAAACTACAACTGCTCTGATTACTCTGATCACTCTAATCACCCTGACCGCCCTGGCCGCTCTGACTGCCATGACTGCTATGACCGCTATCAGTATCATCAGCAAGTTGATGAGTGAATGTTCATTCAACTTAAGCATTTAAATTTAATACTCAAAAGACTTGAGGAAAGTACAAATGAAATTAAAACCAGGCTAGGTTATCTGAAAAGATATCAAAAAGAACAAGAGAATGATCTCTTTGTACAAGTGATAGATGTAAGTGTTTTGGGTTAGCAACAATTTAGATCTAATGTATTTAAGCAGTATATAGCATTTAAGATCTAGCATGTTTAAGTGGTATATAGCATCTAGTATATAATACATATATTGTTTTTTAAAAATATATATAAGATGTGTTTACCTGCATAGCCAAGCAGCTCTTCTTATATAACATATATCCTAGTTAAAGTGATTTAAAGGATGCGTTTAAACAATGCCTTGAAGAAAGGTATCCTAAGTTTATGCATAGTTTAAGTTTCAATTAATATATCAATAGGTTTTATGATGAATGGTTCAGTCCCATATGTATTGATATCTATTATTTTTTAAAATATATTTCTTTTAATTATGACTTATTTACTAATTTTTACAATAGCTTT